TCTGGAGACCAGGCTGGCCTTGAACTCAGAGAGATCTGCCTGCCTCTGCCTCCCAAATGCTGGGATTAAAGGCCTGTGCCTCTAATGTCCGGCGATGTAATGATTCTTTACAAGCAACTTAACAATGCAGTTTCTCAGCCACACTAGCCACATTTCAGGTGCACAGTAGCTACTCTGTAGGCAGTAGACCAGAGCATGTTCTGGGCAGTCTTTTCTATCAGGTCATCCCTCTTGAACGTGTGTGTGTGTGTGTGTGTGTGTGTGTGTGTGTGTGTGTGTGTGAGAGAGAGAGAGAGAGAGAGAGAGAGAGAGAGAGAGAGCGCTCAAGGATGTGTGCTTAAGGACTGGAGTCAAGAGGGTGAAGAGGTAAGGACCTCATGGCTGGGAGATGGTCCCAGGAAGAAAGAAGCAATCCTTTCCTCCATGGATTCTATGCCACCAGTAGGCTCAGCACCTTGTGGTGCCAAGTGGAGTGACTGAAAGTCAGAAACTTTGTATTAAGTCAGGAACTTTCCTGACTGTTAGGATGTGGGACCTGGAACAGAGCAGTGACCCTTGGAGGTCTGAGTGTTACTCTGTCAGTCAGCATTTGTGTTTTTCACTATAACAGAGTATTTTAAATTTTCTGTAAGTGGTAATGCTCCTTGGCTCTGAGCAGGGTGTGTGTGTGTGTGTGTGTGTGTGTGTGTGTGTGTGTGTGTGAGAGAGAGAGAGAGAGAGAGAGAGAGAGAGAGAGAGAGAGAATAAGAGAAGCTAGATGACAGTGACCTCAGGGCTTCTTTAGTGGGATTGAGGGTGACATATACAGTAGGCACTGACTCAGTTTCATGGATCCTGTTTTTGTGAGTATATGAGCATCTTTGTCACCATGAGTTTACATTTTTGGTGTCTGGGTGGCTAACCCTGAGGTACACAACTATATTATAGACACACATAGCCTCCGTACCCAAGAGCTGATGTGCAGGTAATAGTTGAGTCAGGGTTGACTGGCCTCTCTGGCCTTGGGTGAACCAAGGATCCCCATATTGCTTAGACAGTGTTTGAAGGTGGCCATCTCTTTATGTCAAGAGATACCCATTTGTCACTGTTTCAAGCCACAGGTGAGGGACAATGAACCCTGTTTCCTTGTGGAGGGGCTGGACAGGATGAAGCCAATGCTTTGTAAGGACTCGAAACTATAGGGCCATGTAGATGAGAATTTAGCTTAAAGAACACAGTGGACAGGTCTGCCAACAATACACACACACACACACACACACACACACACACACACACACACACAC